GCAAATTTTAACAATGTAACCTTATTTTTGAACAATGGCGACCAAATCAATAATTAAAGTAAACTTTAAATAACTAAATTTATAAAAATTAAATTTGAGAGACCAAATTGATAATTAAGATAAACTTAAAACATTGAAAGTTGTATTATCCCTTTTAAATCATGTTAAAATACCTATATATTATTTTTATTGTAGCCCTCTGAAGCCTAAGTTGCTTCCGCTCGACTATAATTCAAGGTAATTAATTTTTATTACTAGTAAAATATTTATTTTATTTTCTATATGATAAGAGCGCAGTGCAACCATTAAATAACAAATTGTTTGGCCATATATAATATACTTATAGATTTAACCAATTAAAGTATATCAATTATTCAAATTTGCCTCAGCTATTGATTTGGTCCCTCAAATTTAATTTTTATCAATTTAATCTCTTATATTTTTCAAATTATCATGGAGTCCTTTAAGTTTCAAAACATAAATGGACTTTCAAAATAATCTAATGTGTAAAGTTTATTATGACTTGACATAGATATGTAGCTAAATAAGAACAAATTAACCTTGTGTTTTGTTCTTTTGTTTTTTGGCTAAATTTCGTAGTTTTTTTTCCTATCTAATTAATCATCTATTTTTCATTAATCTATGTGACTGCCATCAATATTTTGCTATCAACATCAGCAAATTTTAACAATGTAGCCTTATTTTCGAACAATGGGGACCAAATCAATAATTAAAGTAAACTTTAAATAACGAAGTTTATAAAAATTAAACTTGAGAGATCAAATTGACAAGTAAGACAAATTTAAAGGACTGAAAGTTACATGATCCTTTTAAATCATGTTAAAATACCAATATATTGTTTTTATTATAGCCCTCTGAAGCCTAAGTTGCTTTCGCTCGACTATAATTCAAGGAAATTAATTTTATTACAAGTAAAATATTTATTTTATTTTCTATATGATAAGAGCGCAGTGCAACCATGCTCTTTGGTGATAGATAATTTTTTATTCTTTTATATCTGATTAATCTCTTAATTTTTCTTGATATAAAGGGGCTTCTACCTCTGTTTTTCAGACTATGAACTTCCCTTGCATAATTTTAAAATTTGTACAAATTCAATTTATTTTGATAAAATAATAGGGTATGGTTAGCAACGTTAGCAACTTAGGTTGGCAACTTGACATAAGTGTTAAGAGCTGTTGTCGTGGTTGGGGTATTTGATTGCTCTTACAAGTACGCGATTTGTGTAGTAAAAATTTTCAGGGTGTCCTGGGGTCAAAGCTAAGCCACAAGGAGAAGTTGTACTTTCACCAATTCAAATATTTAATGGTTGAAGAAAAATAGATCAAATCAATTTTTTGATGTGAATATAAAAGAATATAAAAATAAATGCAAGCAATGAGAATTAATTACTAGTTTCTACTCTTTAAATTGACTCTTTAATCAAGTATAGTGATAATCATTCCTAAAATGAGATTGAATTTGGTAAGTGGTTCAAATCCACTCATTCAATGAGTGTTCTAATTACAACCATTGGATGTTTGAAAATTATCAAAATACATTATCCTCCATAAGTTCAAAACAACTCTCATAATCAAAACGCCCCTCACTTACTCCATTGCCTTCAAGAATTTAGTAGATCCATTGATCTGAATTGTCATATAATTTGATTTGATGTGAGAGGTGAGATTTGATACTTTTTTAATATCATAGGACAAAATTTATAAGTCATTTAATTAAATCAACAATTGCTATCATGTCACATGAAACACTTATTGAGTAAGTGATTCATTCATGGCAAAAGATTACAAGATAGTTTGATTAGGTAAACCCCTGTTGGCAAGTTGGCAAAAGATTACAATTAGATTATATTACTATTGCTGTTGCTGTTGCTACGATTGCCACTGCTACTGCTATTTTTAGGATGCTGCTGCCACCACCTGCTGCTGTTAAAGGAAAAACCTTTGCTAACTTCAAACGAGGCTTCATCTCCATTAATATCAGTTTCACTAGTTCTTCACTAAATCTGATGTTGTTAGAGTAAGAGGCACACTTTTGGCTCTGAATATTTTACAAAACAAACCAAATTGTTCAAGCTTCACATGACCCTTTGTGTAAATGCTTTGAAGAAAATTTGTCTGTGAGCTTCCACATCTTGAAAGCCTCTCATGGCCATAGTGAACATGGCTGATCGAAATAAGTTTTGGAGTGTAAACCTTTTCATTTAAATGTCGGATTGTAAGGGGCACTCTGTAGATACAACACGTTGGCAGCAAGTGACCATCTGTGCTATTTTGTATCAGTTTTTTAATGTCAACCATCACTTCATCTTCCATCTATATATCAAGTTTAATAATTTTAAAAGCAATCAGCAATTGTAGAAGCAACAATAAAAGCATGAAATACTTCTGAGATCTAAATTATGTTCTTGTTAACTTAATAACTCGTTTGTAATCTCACAAATTATATTGTTTCTAGCTAAAACCAAGGCTGATTATATATCTTTAGAAATGAACAAAAGTAGAGGATGACACGAGCGCGCGCGCGCACTTGTTCTTCAGCACTCTCACGCCAATTCTTTCTGCTTCATGTCCGCCATCGGGAGAATGTTAATGCAAGAATTGTCAAATTGTTAGATTCAATATGCTTTAGATCCATTCTTGGCTTCTGTGTGTGTGTGTAATAGTCAAAACCCAAATGCTTTGATATAATTTAATGGTTAAGAACGTTGGCATTCTTCTTCCAGGAAGCAATAAATATTTTAGAGGTAATAAACTGAAAAGTTAGGCAACCCATCCTCTCTCAAGACTCTCTCTCTCTCTCTCTCTCTCTCTCTCTCTCTCTCTCTCTCTCTCTCTCCCCCCCTCCCCCATCATCTCGACTCCTTCAAATCTCTGTTCATCTTCTCCTCACTTCGTTTGTTTCTTTCATTCTTTCTTTAATTTCTCTTTTTGCCTTCTTGGCTTCTTGCAGTCCCTCTTAACATGGACGTAGACGACAAATGAACAAGGATATAAGATAATTAAGCTTTGGTAATTGGCTGAAAACAAAAGGACAAATAAAATCATTTTATTTAAACAAAATGAACAAGGAAATTGGAATGATTTTTTTTTAATGATTTGGTCATCATTATATTAGTTTTTGTTATCATTTTTTTAAATTAAAATGACACCTCTTCAACGTGTTCCGAGGTACGTACATGACAGCCAATAAAAGAATTGGGTGAATGAAAGGAAAGTCTCGTACGTATACGCCATGTTTGGATTGAACCAATTTTACTGGGGGAAAAACAGAGAGAGAGGGATTGGAAAGTGGATTTCATAGAAAAATGATTTTTAAACTAAAAATATATTTGGTAGATAATTAGAAGAAATAACTTCGTTACCTTGCAATATTTAAGTTGAATTTTCAAAATCAATGGCTCTATTTTAACATGAAATAGAAGGCAAATATTTTTTAATTGATAAAATAATTTCTAAAATTTAAAAATTATGGTGCAGAAAATTATTAGGATAAATTAAAACAAATAAAATGAGATTATACTTTCTCTATAACCACGTGGTGCAGCTTAATTTCTGCTTTTAAAAAAGTTAAATTTGGTTATCCAAGGAAGATTTAAGATTCATCCAAAACTTTTTCACCTTGAATCACCTCGATGAATAAACCTATAATTGAGATTAGATATTATAATACCATACAACATTTATCTATATCACTCTTGATCATGATTAGAGAAGCTAATATTAATTATGCTATCTACATGGCTTGGCAAGCCCAACACATCAAATGACATTGATTTTATATGATCTAAACTTTAGTGCTTAATTAGGTCCTTTTACTAATTAATTATAGTTGTTAAGGTATGTCACTATCGCATGCCTATTTTTGGTTCTACCTATAATTCAATTGATTGGATTTGGTTAAAGCAAACTGCTGTCAAATTATTTTGCTAAATGATCTATAGATGCATATCATTGGCTTTAATTTGTTTATAATAACTTATAACTAAATTTCGACCTCATTATGCTTCACTACCACGAAACATTCTTCCATATAAAACATTCTTCAATGCCACAAATAAACAATTGTGGTTGTTATAATCGATATGTTAATATTCATCTAAAGCAGTCTAAATTAAACAAGTTGACAATTTACCCTAATAACTACAATAATATGAGGTGGCTATGTTTGTGAATGTTTGTCCCAAATCAATTTTTCTCTTCGGTAAGTCTTCTTCAGTAATTTTACTGCAAACAACACCTGAAGTCCCTTTACTTTCACTCAAGTTACACATTTAATTCAAGAGAACTCTGTTGCCTTAGTCTCTTTTTCATTGTAAAAATTTAGATATGCCTTGCATGATTCCAAAAAGAGGAAAAATACCCATGATGATAACCAATTCATAATTGTTCCCAATAATTTCGTTAAATTCAAAACAGAAATTATTTTATCCACTTAAAATTTTAATCATAATACATTGTTAATCATGCAAGGCATACCTAAATTTTTACCATGAAAAAGAGACTAGTGCAACAAAGTACTCTTGAATTAAATGTGTAATTTGAGTGAAGGAATAGGGGCTTTAGGTATTGTTTACAGAAGAAACAATATGATAACATCGTATTGATTTTTTTTTAATAATACATCATATTGCATTCGCTTGTGTCAGTAATGTGAAATGCTTTCAATTTTTTTTTTCGCCAGAAAAAGAACCAGAAATGCTTTCGTATTTCCAAAATAGCAGGAAAATTAACTTTATTTCCTTTAAATTTATATATAAGTAGTACTATTCCCCAATTTTCAAACTATAAGCCTTAAAGATCATTATATAAAGTTATCTTGGAAGAAAGTTAGAATAATACAATTTTATATCTTCACCTCAGAATATTTTATAACAATGCTTCCCGAATTGTGATAAGTTTGAGATTTTTCACACCATTCATTAAAAAAAACTTCAACAATAGAACACTCAAATATCAGTACGAGTACAAGCTTTGAATCTACTTCACTACTTGGAGGATAGAAAATAAGGTCTGAACAACAGAGAGGATGACGAGGATGATTCCAGCAATAGAGACGACAAATTGCCACGGTGTACGACAATAATCGCGTCTCAATGTTACCTTCTTCTTGTGCCACCAATGTTCACAAAATCCATTCAACCTTCGGCATATATCAGTATATTCAGAATTGAAACCCAAATGAAGGACATTTATGCCCAGACCATTGACTAGTGTAACAACATTGTTAGCGTCACCTACAGAGGTGGCCATTATTTCCTTGTGAACAAGAACATCCACATCTTTATGGGTGTTGATTAGCCAATCCATTAACACAACATAGTCAATAATGTAAGATTGACTGTGATAATGACATTGCTCCAGAGCTATCATATTACGAAACAACATTTCTGTTCTATCTTCCACCAAAATTTGTGAGATCTCAAGAGTATGTCCAGAAAATTTCAAGTCTAGTGAACACTTACTTGTGCTTGCCTTCAACTTCACTCCTGCTTCTTGTAATTCATTTGCACCATATAAAAGTACATAGTTGCTGATGACCTCCGTGAATAAATTCCTCATGGGTAGTTTTGTTGGTAAGTAAAAGAGTCTAAGAAGGTCTGTGAAGTGCTTTATGCAAACATCAGTATTAGGCCTTAAGTATTGGATGTTAAAATATTTAAAGTACTTATAAGAGAGATCAAGAAATGAAGGGAGGTCATCATGATGATCAGCGGGAAAGGCTATGTTGAATAGCTCTTCAATAACAAAGTAAGGAAGTTGATTCTCGAGTAAAACCAAATCGTCCTTTATAGTACTCGCCAACCATGGTTGTGACAGCTTAGCATCATTAGGAATCTCTTGATCAAAGTTATGATACCTCATGAAGAGTTCAATGATGAAACCACCATCCACTAATATCAGTTTCACAAGTTCTTCTTCATTGAGTTTGATGTTCTCAGAGTAAGATGCACGAACTTTTGGCTCTGAGTGTTTTACAAAACGAACCAAATCGTCCAAGCGTGACTTGGCTCTTTGTGTGAATGCTTTGAAGAAAATTTTTTTGTGAGCTTCCATCTCTTGAAGCCTCTTATGGCCATAATGAAAGGGGCCAATGGAAATAAGTTTCGGAGTGTAAGCCTCTTCATTTAAATGACGAATCGTAGGGGGCACCCTGTAGATGCAGCATGTTGGTGGCAAGCAACCATCTTTGCTTTCTTCTATAATTTGTTTGATATCAACCATCACTTTATCTTCCATCTATATATCAAGTTCAACTCTAAAGGCAATCAACAATAATAGAAGGGAAAATAAAAGCAAGAAAAAATCATCGACCATAATTAATTAAGCTTCTGGAATTTAAATTATTTTCTTCTCAAGCTAACTGATTTGAAATCTCACAAATTGTTTATAACTAAAACTAAGGCTCACACACACACACACACACACACACACACAGAGTATATTAAACATCAGCAAACTTGAAAAGGAAAAGTAAAGAGATTAAGAAAAGGCTATAGAAATGAACAAAAGTAGAGGATGGTATATGTACATGTTGCTCCGAATGATTGGATGATAAACCTGTGGAATTAGGTGTCGAGAGAAGTGGTTGCATTTCCACAATTTCTTCAGAATTCTCACTTATCAATTCTTTCCCCGTCATGTCCGCCATCTCCGAGCAGTAACCTAAGTGCAGTGCTCTCTCAAGTTGTTGGATTTAGTGTTCTTTAGATTCATCATTATTGTCTTCGGTTATTTATAGCAGCCAAAAGTTAAATATTTTAAAATAATTTGTTGGATAATAATTTAGTCCACTTATTTTTTTTTTGTATTGTTGTTATGATATTACATATAAAAATGAAGTAATAATAAAATGTTTAGAAGGTGAATTAAAAAAATATTATTGGGAAGAAAAAATTTTGTACGTCACTTTCCGTCGCGATCTATGCCCAACGTCCAATAAAATGATAAGGCAGACCTAGTCATATCATATATTCCCCTTTGTTCTATGTATAAATTATTTCTAGCGTATTTGTTAGGAATGAACGAAAAATTATAATTTTTTTAAATTTACTAAGTTTCTACCTTTATCCTCTAATAAGGATAAAATGATAAAAATGAATATAAAAAATGGTGAAGTACCCAATAAATAAAATCAAAATTAATATTCTCTTACTATCCTATCAATAGGAACAAAGGAATATGACAAGTAGGTCTCCTGAGTTTTGGTAAGGTCTGGCTAGTCAAAATTGATATTAACGGTTCAAATCTAAAAGTTTAAACATGTAATTTTTCATATAAAAAACTATTTTTTTGCCAAAATGACAATTATAAAATTATCTTTATTTTAAACTCTTCTTACTAATATAATAATTTTAAAAAATATATAAATTTTTTTTTAATCAAATAAGGATATTTGGACGATCTAGATTCACTAAAACTAGATCCTTCCATAGGGTTAAGGAAAGGTAATACTCCCTCTGTCCCAAATTATAGGACACTTTTTAAGGAGTTTTTCATCCTAAAATATAGGACACTTTGAGTAGATTAAGGTTTCATTAAATGCACTAATTTTAATATTATCCTTTCTCTCTCTATAATTAATTTTCACACTTCTCTTTTCAATATATTAAATAATGGGTATTTTGGAAAGTTTATATTTTTTTTAAAAGATAAGATTGTTAAATGTATTTAAAGATGTTTATTGATATGTGAGATTTTATTTAAAAATATCTTATAATTTGGGATGGAGGGAGTATTAAAAAGAATGACTTTTCAATTTCGCTCTAAGATATAAAATATATATTGTTTATTTTGATCTCTCATTATTTAAAATACTTTAATTTTTAAATTTTAAATATTATTTTATCAATAAAACATGTTATTTTTCTATTTTATATTAACATAGAGCCGATGATTTTGAAAATTCAACTTAAATATTGCAAGGTATCCAAGTTATTTCTTCTAATTACCTAGCTACCAAATATATTTATTTAAAAATCACTTTTCTGTCAAAGTCCCTTTCCATTCCCTCTCTTTTTTTTTTTGGAGAATAGTATTTAAAGTTAAAGTTCTTTTAAGGAAATTTATTGCAATAATGGTACATCAATTTTGTATTGGATATTATTCTATAAAAACACATATATATTATTGTTAAAAGCTAAAGATTAACTTGTTAAATTTCTAAAGAAACCCTAACAAAATTGATTGGCTCTTATTACTGTAAATTCTCTTGGGAGGGCCTTAAATGGCATTCTATGTAATTTTTTTTTTTGGTTTCAAAAAATGTTTTCCATCCCAACATGGCATCCATAAACGGATTTTCTTTCATTCACCTGATAATCATTTTATTGGCTATCATCTAAGTACTCAATGCTCCCTCTGATACTTGTTATAGGGTGCTTTCTACAAAGACTAACTGGTTTTTAATACTCCCTCCATCCCAAATTATAAGACATTTTTTAGAAAAAATATAAGACACTTTAAGAAAATTAATGTTTCATTAAATAGGCTTATTCTAATATTATCCTTTCTCTCTGCATTTAATACTAATTTAGTGTAGATTTAAGGTTATTAAATGAAAGATATTTTTAGAAGTTTATTATTTTTTTGAAAAATTAAAGTTGTTAAGTTATTTAATGAAGTTTATTGGTATGTGAGATCTTATATAAAAGTATCTTATAATTTAAAATGAAGAAAGTATAAGGTAATTGATGAGATATTAATTACATTTTTTCAATATTATGTTTATTAAAAATCATTAACTATGAGAGATAATGTGATGTAAATTTAAAATTTCTAATTTAAAGTTAAATAACAATAAAATTTCAAAGTTTATTTTATTTTTAAACAAACTCTAACTATAAGATAGTGACTCAATCTTTAAGAGTGTGTTTGGTTCAAGGGAAGAGGAGAGATTTGACGTTACCTTGTTTGATTTAGATGAGAAGAAAAATAATTACCCTCATTTTATTAGTATTAAGATATTGAAGAAGTATATCTACATTTTTTGAACTTATCTTGGAAGAAATATTAGTTAGGGTATGAAAACTTTTACTCCTCCCCTCCCAATCCTGCCCAATTTGGAGGGGAGGAGAGGGGAGATTTTAAAAAATTTCCTTCCAATTTTTTAAACCAAACAAGAGAAAGGAGGCAAAATCCCTCTTCTTCTCTCAAACCAAACACCCCAAGAGCTTTGAAGGAGTCAAATAGCTAGCATTTTATTTCGTTTCACGTTTGCCATCTCAGGTTTTAAATTTATTATTGCTTTAATGTCAGTCATCACTTTATCTTCTATCTACATATCAAGTTCAACTCTAAAAGCAATCAACAATTACAGAAACAAAACTAAAAGCAAGGAAAACAAAATCATCGACGGTAATTAAGCTTCTGAAATTTAAATTATGTTCTTATTAATAACCTAACAACTGGTTTGTAATCTCACAATTTGCTTATAACTAAAACCAAGTAATTAAGGGGCGCGCGCGCCCACACAGAGTTGAGATATTAAACATTAGTAAACTTGACAAGAAAAGTAAAGAGATTATAAATGAACAAAAGTAGAGGATGATAGACAAACACATACTTGTTGTCCCAAATGATTGGACGGCAAGTAATCAGTGGAATTGGGTGTGAGCACAAGTGGTTGCATTTCCACAATTTCTTCATCATTCTCACTTCTCAATTCTTTCCCCGCCATGTCCGCCATCTCTCTCAAATTGCTAGATTTAATATGCTTTAGTTCAATAATATTATTGTCTTATGTATGTATAGTAGCCAAAAATTAAAACTTTTGAAATAATTTGTTGACTAATTTGGTCCATTTTTATTTTCATAGTGTTTTTTATGATATTAAATATAAATATGAAGTAATATTTCCGTTCTTTTCTCATAATGTTAAATGGTAAGAACACTCTCAAAGTCACAACTTAGTGTTTGAAGGCGTGTTTATGTCTTATCTACCCTAATTTTTCCATTCTGTAGCTCAAAACCCACAGCAAGAGTTAAGCCATGTGCCGTGGCGTGTTATCAGTGCATCATGACGTATGTGGCAAAATGTTAAATTGCACCACAACGTATTAGTAATGCGCTGTAGTGCTATTGCATCTCTAGAAACTCTATGTCTATGTCACATGTCGCAACGCACTGTGCATGCACCATAGCACATGACACAATGCCTCTAAGTTTATGATATGAAAAGAAGAGGAGAGGGAGGAGTATAACAGGGATTGTAGATCTATGAAAATTTGATCTAGGTGAAAGGGCATTTCAGTCAAAGAAAATTATTTATCATGTGTACAGTCCAATACAATCCATTAAATGGTGAGGGGAGAGAGATGATTAAAAATTGTATTTCATTGTGGATGCAGCTGCCTTGGATTGACGAAGACGTTGATCCAACATTACCAACGAGGAACATTTTAGGTGAACAATAAATGTATAAAAAGTGATTTCTTTTCTTTATGTTAAGTGGGATTTGGTTTGAATTGAAGTGTGAAGAATGTTTCATGGTCCTTTTTTGAAAAAAATAAGTAAATTTTATAAAAAAAAATAATGTTTCTGTAATTTTTGGGTGTAAAATATATAAAAAAAATGAGGTCAAAAAATAAATTGATCCCTAAATTATTGATTTAGGAGCATCTTGAACTCCAAACTCATATTTGATATAATGTTCTCCTTCAAGTTTAGAAAATGATGAATTTTGGCCCATATTATTAAGAAAAATTAACTTTTATAATCAATTGATTAGAAAATAATAAATGACTTCAACAATTACAGAAAATAATTAAAAAAATACAATAAATGACTCAAAAATTACAGATAACAATGATATAGAAAATTAAAAAAAAAAGGATCAAGAGAATTCTAATAGTCATTTTCTATCATTTTTACATCATTTTTTATTATTGTTTGATTAATTAATCATCACGGTTAACTTTTGTTAATGATAAAAAAATATATTTTATTACTTTTAAAAATTGAATCAAAAATGAGTTTATAATGTAAAAGTTTCATCCTTAGAGCAAACGCGTGGGTTATGGCGCCATAAACCTATCACATTTATGAATAATTAATTAATTATGACCATTTGTCCCTTCTTGGCCCTCACTTTCAATGTTACTGCCCGCAGTACTTTTTATAGTTTTTAAATTTATTGGACAAAAAGAGGAGCCAAACAAATGAAAGCCATGTGAAATACAGTAGTTAATGTTGACAAGCACTTCAATTTTTATAAAAAGTCAAGGTCTTACGCGCCATTTTAATTTTATATCCACATCGTGAAATGACAAGCACTTCAATTTTTATACGTTCCATGGTGGGGATTGGGATGACTCCTCATGTGAACATCTGAATTTTTGGGAGAGGATGACAGTTAAATTCTAACAAAATTAATTAATTTAAATAAAGTATCTTAATAAATTTTAGAGTGTCAAATCTGTTCTTCAATAGTAAAATTACTCTAACTAATAATTTAGAGTATTGGGTGATTTTCAAGGAATACTTTAGGAGGAAAAATACGTTTTTACCCAAAAAAAGTGCTAAAATAATTTAAATAGAAGGGAAAATGATAATAAAATTCATTTGAATTATGTAAATGATATTTTAATCTCTTAAAATATCATAATTTCTTGAAGTTTTTAGGGACTTTTTTGTCATTAAAAAATTAGTATA